CTGACAAGATGGAGGGAAGGAGGGAAGGAAGAAGGAATGATCCACAGGGAAGTTCAGCAGCCCCCCTCTGGTTTTGAAGCGGCCCTCTAACCCATTCTGCGTTTTCCTGGGTTGTTGGGGTCACTTCCAAATTTGCCTCTGTCCACCCATAGCTTTTGTGTCTGTTAGCACCGCAATAAACGTCCAGCTCAGGCTTTAAAAAGACAGGTTCTTAATTGAAAATCTGGACTAGAGTTAGACTAGAAATAGGAAGTCTAGTAGCACTTTTTCAGGCCAAAAAGAAATCACGAAAAGGCATGAGCTGCAGCTTCATTTGAGGCATAGATGAGATGCACCGATGCACCATATAAACCATAAAATGTATTAGTCGAAAAAGGTGCTACCCACCTCCCATTTTTTGGCTACCGTTGCCAACAGGGCTCTCCTCTTACAGGCTCTTAACCCCAACAGCAAATCATTCTGCAAAGTTTTTCCTAAGCTGTAGCGCATCCTGGTGTATGTTTGGCTAGTAACCAAACCAAACCCAAATCGATTCAGACACTGTATTTTGCTTGGCTCTGTGAACTCAGCCATTCTGGTCTGTTGAAACATAGTCTCTGGCTTAGCACAAGGATGGTTAAACCATAGCTTGGGAGCCATCCCCAGCTGGGGGATGGAGACCCACATTTTTTAGCCTGTTTGCCTTTGGGGAGGTTTGGCGGAATTAAAGAGTGAAATAGAAGAAAAGGTTTGCAGCCCTTAAAAACTGGGATTGGAGTGATTGTTTTCTTCCAACTGGAGATTTTAAGGGACAAAGAAGCAAGAGAATCTGAAAAATTAGGCCCTAGCCACTCGGGGGACATCAGACTATCACCAACCCCACCTCCTGAGACCAACGGGTGGAGAGAGATGTATTCCAGGCCAAAAATGTTGCCTCCTCCTACTTAGCTTGCTAAGCAAACCCATGTATTACAGTTTATTCAATAAACTGAGGTTTGCTGGTACGCTATGTAGAACCCAGGCACTTGGAAGACCTCACATTCTTGCTGCTCTATTTGCCTACTCAAAATGACATGTTTTAACTTGAGCTAAAGCGAAGAGTGTCTGTTCACAAATACACATTGCCCCCTCTTTGTCCTTGTTGACTTCTTGGCTCATTTGCTGCTTCAACCTATCAAACCCTCTTTAAAACCCATCTTACTTCACCTTCCCTTTACCTTTCCGTGTTTTGAAAGGTCCTCCTCCACTCCACCTCCTGTGGTGGGACGCATCCCTCAAAAGACCTTTCGATTAGCAACAAGAAAAGCCACTGCCCTTTTAAATGGCTAAAACTGCTTGTAGGTAGCTATTTTCTTCCTGTTTTCTGGCCTGATTTTGAGGAGTTGCTACTTATCCAAGGGTTTCTTCGCTGTGGTTTGGAAAAACATTTCACGACACTAGTGGTGTCTGCAGGAGGGAGTCGAAATCTGCAAGACGGATTGTCAAACTCATAGCCATCTTGCAGACTTTGACCCCTCTCACACATGTCCCTAGGTAGCACCTAAAATGTGATGCGTGGGGAAGTGTTGCTGATGGAGAATCTACCAGCCTTCTGAAGTCCTATGGAGTGTGGGCAGATGGGCGTCAAAGCATATGGCAATTGTGTAATGGGGTGTTCTAGCCAGGATGGGGGAAAGGGAGGCAGGGTGTGTGAGTGCAGCCCCCTCCGATGCTGCTGAGATACCCCATGGCCTTTTGGATCCCAAACTGATCTGCATGTTTTTCTTCTGTTTCAGGTTTCTCCCACCTGCCGAGTGGTCTATATCCCTCATACATTCCTCTGAGTCACCTGGAACCCCATAACAGCGGGAACCCATTACTCGCTCAGCTGAGTCAGCACAGCCTCTTCGAGTCCCCAAAAGGTTGGCCTGTCCCTCATTAATTAATTAATTAATTAATTCATTTATTCTTGATGCCATCCAACTCCAACTCTTCTATTTCTTGAGGGCATGGAGATCCCATTTTGCTCATTCTTTCCTTGGCCTAAAGCCACCCTGGGAGCTCTGGTGGGAATGTAAAGCTGGGTCCCACACACTAACTATTATAACACACTGGGTCTCCTAGAGATTCTCTAGAAATGTGGTTGTAGAACCCCGTTATCTGCCTTGTGCCCATTCTGGATGCCTTTCGCATGTGCCGGAAACCAAATTTTCTTTCCAGCCCAGCTTATGAAACACCAAAGATGTGGTAGATGTGTTTATTGCTCCCTATTTCCCCTCTGCCTTTGGACTTCCTTAAAGAATGCAACGTGAACAGTTTCCACACTTCAATACTTGACTTGGCTCCTAGCTCCCTCTGCCCCGACCCCCATCCCCTGCTTTTGTGTGGTCACATATTCCACATATATTGGGGGATTTTGCCATTAGATTTCCAGCTACCCACCCAAAACCTTTGCAGTGTGACCAATGAATTTGTACTTCAGCCCCGGATTGGGTTTCCTATCCTTAGTAATGTTTAACTATGAGGATCAGTTCCCCTAATTCCCTAAACAATGGACCCAGTGGCTGGGAATTCTGGGAACTGAAGTCCATGCCTCTGGAAGTTGTCATGGCTGGGTGGCCATGTTGATCTTGGCAGCAGGGTTCTGAAGTTCAAAGAGGCTGTTCTGCCTGTGAATTAGAGGTTGAAACCATCTGTTTCAAGGTCAGAAAACTTCTGGTAAGGCTGGTGAAGTAGGAACAGCCCCCTTTCCACCTGAACTGGGATATTTCATCATCTTGGATTTGTGTAGCCAAAGAGAATTGACCTTAAGCTGCTGTTTTTCTCCACCCCCCCCCTTTGATTTACAGATGGATTTTATCTTGCTGGGCACGCAGGACAGGCTGCCTTGCATCCCCAAGCCCCCCCCTCACGGGCAGCCCCCAACCACGCGTCTAGTGCCCTGCTCCATGAAAAGGACTTTGGGCACCTGCACAGGACCTCCAAGGAAGGCCCCAAAGACCTCGGTGGGAAGGAACGGTCTTGCCGAAGCGACCTCTCCTTGCCTCTGTCCAAGAAGGATGCCAAGCTGCGCGAGGAGGCCCGGCCTCACAGCGTGGTGGATCTCACCCAGGACACTAAGCCTGACAGCGAGAGAAAAACGAATGGTTTCGAAAAGGCCGTTAAGGCTGGGGAGCGGCTGTCCCCTTTCCTTGCGGAACACTTGCCCAGCCGGGGAGTCTTCGGCGGAGAACCAAAGTCCAAAAACCCACTTCAGACCTCTTCGCTCAGCAACTGCAATGGTGGAGGAAATGCCCAGGGCCCCGAGCTGGACCGTTGTGCCAAGGACCTCAGCAGACACGATGAGAATGTGAGGCCTTCTCCTTACATGTACTCCGACCGGCTGAAGAAAGTAGATTCTGCCATGGGTTCAGTGGCCGCTCTGCACGTTGCCTGCAGTTGTCCCTCTCCAGCTCAGCCAGGGAAGCTCCCCCCACCCTCGGCATTCCCTCCCCAGCCTGTCCATTCCAATATGTACACCATCTTCCCCTTGACCAAGGAGCCTGGGAGGGAGCACAAGGTCATCGCTCCAACCTTTGTGCCTTCTGTCGAGGCTTATGATGAGAGAAACGGCCCCATTCAAATCGCCTCCCAGGCCCGGGACATCACCAAAACAAAGGAGAAGGACGTTCCTGCTGCCACCAGAGTAGGTGTCCTGCAGGCGGTACCGGAGAGGTGCCTGGCTGACGCTTCTCGCAACCTTTTGCCCCAGGAGTTCCCCCTCCATGGAGATGCCAAGAGGATGGAAGTCCTGAGGGAGAAAGGTTCAGTGATCAGGGCGAACTCCATGGTCTTGAAGAAACAGGGGGCTTCAGAAACCTTCTTGAACAGGCCAAGGTTGAGCTCCCCAGAAAACAGGGAGTTCCTCACTTCGAAAGATTTGCCCAAAGCAGGCCTGGAGGCAGAACACCGCTCCTGCGAGCGGGACCGTTTTCAAAGGCCTGGCTGCAAAGAAGCAGTGAAGATTTATGGCACTTTGGACACCTCCTCCTCCTCCTCCTCTTCTTCCTCCTCCTCCTCCTCCTCCCGCCAGCATTTAGATCCCAACCAACAGCTGAAACCTCCTGAACAAAAGTGGAAGCCTTTTGAAATGGGCAACTTTGCCACAACCCAGATGGCTGTCCTAGCTGCCCAACACAACCATGCCAACCGGGTGGAGGAAGAAGCCAAGAAGACCTACCTTGAGCCCAGCAGCCTACAGAGATCCTCAGTAGTGGGACCCCGGAGCGTGGCAGAGAGCCTCCACCCTCCCTCACATGGTGAAGGATCAGCCATGCAAAGCCTCATCAAGTACAGCGGTAGCTTTGCTAAGGAGGCGTCAGGACGGCAAGGGGGTGGCAAGAAGAGCCCTTTTGGGGGTCTCGGCAACATGAAGCTGGACCCTGGCCAACAGCCTTCCCCCAAGGTCCAGCAGTTGCTGCCCCACCAAGCTGGCAAGCAGCTGAAGAAAGAACCTGAACGACCTGAAAGTGCCAAGTCCTTTGGACGGGAGAGCATTGGGTCTCAAGGGGAGGTGGAGGTTAGACATCTACCTGTTGGCATCGCGGTGGCAGTGGCCCGGCAGAAGGACAACAGCAGTGGCAGCAAGCTGGGGCTCGTGGACCGTGATCGCTCCCTCTCCTTGAGTAATGTTAAAGGTAGGCTGTTGGCAGGGAAGTATCAAGCTCCAGATGTGACAACTGCAACTCCCAGAATGCCCAAGAATAATGGCTGGGGAATTCTGGGAATTGACGTTCTCGTATCTGTAGGTTCACCCCCAAGCTGGGAGGGTTGCCTAGATGCAGATGGAGGTGGGAGATTTGGGTATTAGTTATGGGAATTCTCCAAATTGTTAGTCTCTTTCTGTTGGAATGACGACAAGAAAGTTGGAATTGACCACCAGGGGAGGTGACCTTTGAACAAAATAATTGTTAGGGTGTCTATTGTTAGGGTTATGGTGGCCATAGCAATGCTGTCAATTGTCTACATTAGCCTTGTTTTCATTGTCAAAAAAAGGAGGCAATTACAAGACAGTATTGTCTCAGTTTGCTACCAGATTTCAGCAGCAGCAATCTAGCTGCAGACGATGAGAAGAGGGTTTGTGTGGTGGGTCCCCATTTGCTCGTTAAAGAATCATAAGAGGTGATGGGAGAATTCCTTTTCTACCTGAGAGGACAGGCCAGTTTCTTTTCCTCTTGTGCACTGCCCAGGGTCTAGTGATCAGGGTGGTATACAATTATTGTGTAAGAAATAAATCAATCAGAGCAAATAAGATGAGCAAAATGGCTGTTCGTGTCAAATGCATGCATGCTGTTGATGTAACTCCCTGGATATTTTTCATTGGAGGATTCTGCACTATTTGGAAACCAAACCTATGCAATTGCCCAACACAGGCTGTTTTTGAGATTTTTGCAATTGCATGATGTTGGTTGCCTTAAAAAAAAAAAAAAAAAGCCTAGCTCCATTGATTGATTGATTGATTGCTTATGTGCCATCAGGTTGTTTTCAACTCCTAGCGACCACATAAATAGATAGATCCATTACTGTTTCTTTAAAACTGTAGAAAAAATGTGTTTTCTTTATAGCATTTTGCTGAGCTTACGGCAGTCTCTTTCCCCATTTGTAGAAACTCCAGAGATTCAGCTGTCCCTATGAGATCTTTCAAGGGGAAAAGCAGCTTGATGGTTTTGCAGTTCTCCTTCATAGGAACCATTCAGATTTTCTTTTTCTTTTCTTTTTTTTACATATAAGCAAAACTAATTCACAGAGCATGAAGTAAGGACATGGATGCAGAAATGTCTTTAATTTCTCTCTTGTGTGCAGTGGAGGTGAGGGAACATTCCTCCAGAAGCTATGGCAGGTTGGGACACCACATAGATTCTCTGCTCCCTATTCTTAGTACTACAAGATTGATTGATTGATTGATTGATTGATTGATTGATTGATTGATTACGTGCCATCAAAACAATGTTGACTTTTAGCAAGCACATAGGTAGACCTTCTCAGGATGTTCTGTCCCCAACCTGGTCCTTCAGGTCTCCCAATGGTGCACCCACCACTACTGTCATTAAGTCCATCCACCTTACTGCTGGTTGTCCTCTTCTCTTTCCTTCCACCTTTCCTAGCATTATAGACTCCTCAAGAGAGCTAGGTCTTCACATAACCTGTCCCAAATAAGATAACTTGAATCTGCTTGTTTTATTATTTATTTAACATTATTTATTTATTTATTAAACTTCTATAGCCACCCATCTATCAGAAGGAACTCTGGGCATCAAACAGAATAAAAACACAATATACTAACATTTGTGTCTCAAGTGAAAACTCTGGGTAGACTTGTTCTGTGATCTCTTTATTTGTTTTCATGGCTCTCCATGGTATTTTCAGGAGTCTTCTCCAACGCCAGTGTTGTCCAACACCAAGCCCAACTACACAGTTGTAGTGGATTCATCCCCCCATCCTCCACCCCACCCCACGGTGTTATGGGAGATGTTTTTGTG